GCCTCACAATCTCCATGGCCAAGAGAGACAAAGGATGGGACAGGGAAACTGAGGCACAGTGCCAGGGTGGGGTGGCTCACCTGACACCGCCCAGCAGGCTAGTGGCAGCAGGGGCAGGCTCTTCCCCACGCGCAGACTCAGCTCTCTGCTTAGTGGATGCAACAACAACAACAAAAAATCCAAATCACTGCCCGCACTGATACGACTTCAAAAGCAGCACGGAGCTGCTGACTGATAAAGACATTGTAAAGCACAGAAAATGGATTCAGTCAGGGGACATAAATACAACCTGTCAGCAGAGGCTCTGGCCAGACGCTGACTTACTGACTGAACTCAATTGGGTTTTATTTCCTTGCAACATCCGTGCGGCTTATTTGTTAGCGGCTCCAAAGCGTTTGGAAGCCGTGACGTTCCCTTTTGGATTCTTTCCCCTCCCGGGCCTCATCCTCAGCTGGCATAAAACAGCCTGGCTCTACTGAGGCCCTACCTGGATTTGTGCCAGCGAGGGACCCGGCTGCTTGCTTCCGAGGCAGCATGAATAGCACCCGTGCAAAGCCATTCTCTGCAGAGAAAGGAAACACGGAGAAGCCATTTTGCAGAAGAAAAGCATCCTGGTTAATACCCGTTTGGAAGCCGAGCCGAAGCAAAAGGCTGGGACCGACACTCAGGCCACCACCGACGCTTCAAAGGGGAGCAGGATTTGGCCCCTCCAGTCATTTTTCTGCTGGACTGTGCAATAGTCATACTTCTTCTGATATTGTATAAGAGCCTTATGGGCCAGGCCCGTGGTGCAAGCAGAGGGCCAACACCCAGCCTGTGCCCCAAATAATGTGCTTCTTTTGGCATTTCCAACACATTCACCCCACACTCCCTGCAGCCGTGGTCTGGCCCCGGCCAGGTGTCGAAGTCAGCGTGCCCCTCCGCGCACACACATTGCCTCTTCGTGCCCCCATGCCGCATAAGCCTTACAGCCCTGAACAGCTGCTCCGAGCCCGGGGGGCTGCCCCGGCTAACCCCAATGCACCCCAGGCGATAAAGTCCATCCAAGCGCCGCACGTCGGTAGCCAACAAGTCCTACCGGAGAATGCCGTGCGTGTGAGCTGCCCTTGCCCGACACAGATGGCATTTGAGATCATCCTCAGCGAGAGATTCGGTGCGACAGCCTCATCGCATTGTCTATTCACCCGTGCAGAGGTTAGCAAAGCGTCAGCAGACGACTGCAGGAGGAATCAGCTGCCTGCCTAATTAATCCCCGAACCCAAAGAGGAAACTTGTGCATCACCTCTGCACGCCCGGCCAGCCACCACCTGCTCTCTTACCCGCTCCTCACACTCCTCTTGGAGGTTTGTCCCTCCACCCTCATCAGAGTATCCCAGGGCCTTCTATGCGGTCAAGAGCCATAGTGACATCCCGAAGAGAGGGCTTGATCTTCTCCCCGTCGGAGGTCAAAATCTGGATCACGCTCAGATTTGGTTGGGATTTTTAGAGGAACCGGGAGTGCCTGGAAAGGTTTGGGAAACAGATTCATAGAAAAAAAGGTGCGAGACCGGAGCTCCTGTGCAACCTCCATGTAGAAGGATAATATTTTTAGGGACTGATGCAAAACCCCATTGATGTCGAGGAGAGACCAGGCCAAAGGCGTAGAGAGGAGAAGTCATGTGCAGAAGACCCAGCACAACACGGATGCTCCAAGGCAAGAACAACCATAAAGCACCAGAACCATCCCAGTAAAACCACCCTGGCTCTGGCAGGCCCCACAGCCTGGGAGGGGGGGTGGGGGGGGGGGGGGGGGGAAAAACAGCCAGCTTTGCCTATCTGGAGCACAGGGCAATGCCAATGTAACCCGGGCGGTACTCCAACTTCACTCACCCTAAGCCATCCCAGCTGGGATTTGAACTCAGATCTCCCATCTGATGGGCAGAAACACTACCCCACAGACACCAGTGCTGGTCCCGCTCCCCACTGCTAGGGGTCTTGACCCTCTGGGAGCCCCTGCCTCACATCACGCTTCCTGGCCTCTTGCTGGAGGCAGAGCTGGGAACCTCCTCGCTGGATCTGGGGAGCCTCTCCTGCTGGCCACAGCCTCTCGTAGGGGATCCTGGAGCCTCTCCGAGGAAAGGGAATCCCAAGCCCTCCAATCATCTTTTACCTTTTCAAAACCCACTAGCCCGAGATGCCAAGAAGCTGGGAGCCTGTCCCCCACCTGGTGCTGGGGGGCTTGGAGATGGCCCCGAAGCCTGGCTCGGCGGGTTGGGACAAGGTGCCCCCTCACCGCGCCGCTCTGTCAGCGTGCTCAAAATGCAAAACGATGCCAAATGGGATAGGTAAAGAAAGACTAATTGCAAAACTAAACCAAAACCCCATTAAAGAGGAATTTATCATTTTAATTAAGGTCTAATCAGAGCAAGTTGACACTCCAGAGGGAGCGCATCAATCACGGCGTCGGAATCGCTTCAGAGAAAAGGAAGGGAGGGGACACGAGAGAGAGCAAAGGCACGAGGCGAGTCCTTCAGCTCTGCCCCCCCCCAGGGCCTGGATCCACTCATCCTGGAGGATCCTCCTAGGATCCCTTGGGGAAACCAGCCACAGCACCTGCAGCTCAGGACGCATCACATGCCCCATTCACAGATGCATCCACGAAACAGGTGACTTTGCTATGGAGCAACTCTAGTTCAGGCTGCGGACATGCGAGTATTCAGCCCATGACGGCCCTGATGCATGACCGGGGACCAAGAGGGAGGATGTGTTGGATTGGAGCCCAATTAGTCATTTCTTACTTCTTCTGGCCACCATCACAGCAACTTCCCTCCTCGTTTCCCTTCGCTCACCCAGCACCCGCTTCCTTCCCATGCCAGGCGGCACAGTCGCCCACCGCCGAGACGAGATCCTCCTCCGTGGCTCCTGCGGTAGAACAGGCTCCCTGCATCTTCTCACCTTGTCACTTTGGGGACTGAAAATACCCTATTGCTTCTCTCCCTCTGTGCTGTCATTTACTATGGACTGCAACTGCAGCTGTCCCCATTTCACCCTGCAAAGCATTATAGGCGAAAGTTTGGCTGGGTGGCTCCAAGGTCAAGAAGGACCTGCCATATTTTGGTGGAGAGCGCCCAAAGTGTTAGGTACCGACCCTACCAGCCAACAAGAAGATTTTCTGCAGAAAGGCAAGGGGCGGCAGGAGGGAACTAGGAGGGTGGGGGAAGAAAAGTCCGAAGATAATCATTTCCCCTTCTCTGCAAATTAAAGTCACCATCCGAGACCTGCTTGCTTTCTGATAAAGAAACCTCCCCCTCCCTCCACACCGGAGACTGCAATGCATGTGGCACCACCCGGCGAGGTGAGATAAGGTTATTAATTCGCAGATCAAGCTATATTAAATGGAGCTGTAATTGCAATCAAATGATGTGGTAGGAAAACACAGTTGGGCTATGACAGGGGCACACTCCTATGGCCCATGTTATGCTGGGCTGTGCATGGTGGCAAGGGCCCGCAGTGGGCTGGGAAGGGAAATCATGGGAGCTGTCTTGTTGAAAGGAGGCTCAGTGCCGCTCAGCTCTTTCTGCTGGGGCCTTTAGTGCAGAGGGGTCACTTGGGTTTGCTCCCCAGGCTAGAAATTATTCCTAGAGACCAGATGCAGCAAGATGTGGAGGAATCAAGGATGCCACCTCGGTTGCTGCAGCGGTGTAATTTCAACAGACGTACGCAGAGTCTCCCCAGGGGAGAAGAGCTGCCCGCCCCGTCTTAACTATTGGATACAGACTGGCTTGCAAACCCACTTCATCAATAAGCAGTGCCTGCCCCTCCTTTGTCCTGGGATCTGGATTTCCCCAGGGGGGAGATGACACGACCAAAAGAAAGGGAGTCAGCTTTGAAGCAGGCTCTGCTGCAAGAGGGGCCTGCATCTAAGGGCTGAGAATCGATCCCGTCACTCCAGCTGAGTGTATCAATCTCCCAATACACCAGGAGCTGCAGCTCCATTGATTGAAAATTGCAGTGTGTGTAATTAAGCGCGGTGCTTGCAGCGCATCCGCATACCCCTCCAGTGTGAGCACCCAGCCCTAGCCCGCGCGCTCTGCCCAGCTTGCTCCAAACAGGCAGGCTGTGCAGGTGAGCAGTGGGCAGCCCCAGGACTGCAAAGGCAAAGGTAAAGCCCATAAAGCTGTGGGAAGCACCAAGAAGGGGGAAAGGCATCCCTATAGATCTATGGGGACATGCATCACACAGCATGTTATACTGTAAATCAAGGTGCGTGTATACATGTCCAGGCATATCTATATATCTTTAATAGATAGATAGATAGATAGATAGATAGATAGATATGCATGTAGATATGCACTATATATGCATATATACATTAGAGGCTATAGATCAATATCTAATACACACACACACACACACACACATAGATATATCTATCTATCTAGAGATGGGGAGAGAGAGACATATGGCAAGCGTGTACTTATTACACACATGGTCTCATATGCAGGCAAATGTGCATACCCACTCCAATATTATAAATGCTTGTGCACACACACACACATTATATGCCTGTACCAACATCGTGCTATGCCAGAGACCGCACATACATGCACCCTTGCACGTGTGCATAAAACATGCCCAGCTTTAGGCTTCCCTATCCAGTCCCATGCAAGCCCCAGGCCCATGCGCACGCGCCTCCATCCGTGTCTGCTCTGCTGCAGATGGGGCCGGCTGCTGTGCTGCGTTTAACTTGTCAGGAGATGTTACAAGGGGCACTTAACGAAGACAAAGGCCCACGTCAAGAGCTCCGGGAACACAATCCGTTTCCAGAGCGGGTGCCCACACTTTCCATGAATGACACTGTAAACAAATCAATGGACAGGCTGATTTACACTCACTCCCCCCTCCTCCGAAAGACTCCTCCTGAGGATGTCAGGGCTGAAGCCATCCATCTCAACTCCCCATCTAAGCCCCTGTGCATTTGCAGGGCTTCACACCCATGTGCCCAGTGCTCGAATACTCACCATCCAGCAGGCACGAGGCAGGAGCCTCCCAAATCCAGAGTCCGTCCCGCAGCACGAGGGCGCACCGGAGGAAGGAGAAGCCTCTGGAACAGGGGAAATCTCCCTCCATCTCTGTGCCTGAGCCTTTTGGAGGGGAGGCGGCTGCCCTGCAACGTGTGGTACTCTCCACGCACCCTGCCACGGGGGCTGCCTGCGCGTGGTCCATGGAGCCTCGCTCTCTCTCAAGGCAGCGCAGAAAGCATGAGCCACCATGCAAAGAGGCTAAGAGGAAGAAGAGATGGCAGTACAGACCGTCTTCCCCAGTGGTGAGAGCCTAGAGTCACAAACAAGGCCTGGGGCCACTGGCCAGAGCCAGGACCCTGCTTAGAGAAAGCCCTCATAGAAAGCAGGGTGTCAGTTAGCACAGCTGGGCTTAATTAGTGCAGCCCCACCCAGCACTAATCAGGGCACCTGGCTCCTAGAGGGCCTGGCCAGGCCCCCTCCTTTAACACCTTCCGCTAGGAAAACCAGCTCAGTTGATGCTGGATATTGAGGAGCTCTGGGTTCAAATCCTGCCTGCCATGTGCACCCCAAACTTACTCAGTCCATCGCAATTACATGGAGGCACCTAAATCCCTTTGAAGCCAGCCAAATCCATGCACCGGGTCCCTAAGGAAACAGCCTGAGCTTTAGGGGTGCCAGCAGGCACCCTCCCCCACAACTATCCCCGCACCTTACAAAAACCAGAGCTTTTGTTTTCAGGCTTAAATATGAACATAGAAGGCTAACACTAAAGCCTCATGTCTGATGGCATTGGCAACTCACATTAGGAGCATCCAATATTAGAGAAAAGTACCCCGAGATCCTTTTATGCACGGTGCTGGCTCTGAAAATGAGAAGTGCTCTAGAAGAGTTAGGTGGCTTGATTAATATAGTTGTCTCTTGCTGGCAGGCTGAAATTGGGGCAGCGTTGTGGTAGGTAGGTCCTGTGCAGTTATAATAAAAGACAGCTTCTGCCCCCAAACCCTTGCAATCTGAATAGACCCAACAGCCCGGGAACCGAAGGGGAAACTGAGGCAGAGGGAAGTGAAGCGACTTGGCCCAGGTGCCTCTGCAGGTGATGCATGAAAGCTAAGACTACAACCCAGGTCTCTCGCCCAGCATGGCAGTGTCCTCTCCTGCGTGGATCACACCGCCTCCCGCTTCTCCACGCCGTCAAAGAATTGCTGGGGGGACTTTGCATTCGTTGCGAGAGCGAGCATGCCAGCGCCGAGCCCCGGGGACTTCACCGCTTTATACGGAAGAGCCGGGAAAGGAAAATGTTTACAAATAGGGTCGTGCTTTGTCAAGTATTTATTTTTAAATGGATCTCCCTTTCATCCCACTGGAGCGCAGGCTCCTGCTTAGCACATTTTCAGCTCTGCGCCATGCATTTGCTGCCACTTGGATATTCACTTATGCTTGATAGAGTAATTTCCCTGTAGGAATCCCTCTCGCCACCCAGGCTTCATCATGGCTTGTAGCTCAAAACTTAATAACCAAACATCTTCAGATGGGCCCTAACCTCATTGCACGAGAATTGGATTTTCCCCTTTCTACCGCTGCCTTGCAAGGATCTTTGCTCTTGCCTCATGTATGTTTTGGCTTGACAGGCACGCGCGTGCACAAAAGCCCCTCTTCAGAGCGCCGATCCATTTGATCAGGTTCATTTTTCCTATTGCATTTTGCCGTTTGCTGCCACTGGGATTCTTATCCTTGCACAGCCAATTAAATTATCGGAGCTTCATTTTCAAAGGGTTTCTGCGTGTTGACTTTTATTAACATGTATTTGGGCAAATCGTTATATGAGATTACACCTAGCAACTTGAGCGGCAGGGCTGGCACATGCTGGGGAATGCAGAGTTATTTACCTACCCTGGGGTGTTAATCTCCTCCAGCTGAAAGGGATGAATCTGGGGGGGTGGGGGAGATCCTCAGCTGATGTAAATCAACATCTTTTGCATGGAAATGCTAGGAATATTCACCTTCACTAAAGGCAGCAGAAGCCAGGAGGCTTGGATGAATTTCTGCTGGAGTTTCCACGTTTGCAAACAGAGGAGACGCTCCAAGTCAGGCTGATCGTTCTGCACAGCTCGGCCCCGCGGCCCGGCAGATGCTGTGGGTCACATCCCCAAGAGCTGGGCAGCAGCGCTGGTCAAGTATTTTATTGGAGAAAAAGGCAGATTTGAATCAACTGGAGCCATCTGTGACTTGATCAGACTGTTTGGGCAGGGGGGGAAAAATGGAAAGAGTCAGAGCATTCAGCTTCAGCATGTTCCCATTGAAACGTTTCGATGTTTCTGTTCTGACACGACATTTGGTTTTGAAAATTCAAATAAAAACTTTTTTTTCTTTTTTCTTTTTTTAAACTAAAGCTTTGCAAGCCCCAGAAGGAAGCAAACCCTGTCACGGCTGAAGCAAGGGACAAACCTGGCATGGCTGTCGCCAGCTCAGGACGGCGAAGCCAAATGTCATGTAAGACGGTGCAACTCGTCACCACCAACTCAAGGATAAGCCAAATCGAGCGGACCGGGCCAACTTCCCTGCCAATCCCTTCAATGCCTGGGGGCTTCTTATGAGGCCTGGGCCACTAGGACTGAAGACTAGTCTTCCCAATCGGGCATGTACACACAGGGATGAGTAAACCTTTACAATCCCAGTGAGATTGAGTCTTTTTGTTCCACCCCCAATTTTTTTTTTTTAATAATATTTCCCATTTTCAATTCACCCAGTGAATTTGCACCGTTTAAATATGGAGCTCAAGCATATATCGGACACTCCTGCTCTGTGCAGTAGCCCCTGGGATGGTGGCTAGGCTAGGCATGAGAGGGATGGGTAGGTTTGGGTTCATTTCCCAGCTCAAGCCGAGTCTGGAAAGAGGAGGAGAGAGAAGCCCGAACGGCAGCGTTGAAACCTCCTGGGTTTAAATGAAACATTCCCAAACTCCTGGCTGACACCACCCAGCAGCACAGGGTTTATAAACACGTGGTCCTCTGCCTACCATATGGTAGCGTCCTCCAAACCTCTATTTTGGCACGGCCTCTCCTGCAAGCTCACCTGTCCCATTGCTTTCTCTGCAGACTTCTGCCTTGGTGTCTTTCCAGCCCCTCTCTCTGTTACCTCCCCCCCACACCCTCCGCTGAGCAAATCTGCAGAGCATCCCCTAGCTAAGCAGCTAAAAGTAGCTTCCTTCTTCCCAGCTCTGCTCCTCCTGAGGGCCCCTAGCCACGACAGGTTTTTGAAGGTGCCGTTTCTCCACCTGGCTGCATCCCCAATGGCAGACTTGCCTTTGTGTCCTTCCAAGAGGTGCAAGGGGGAGGGAACATTTCATCTCCAAAGCTCCCCATCCACAATGGAAAAGCTCTCAAAAGAGGAGCCTCTCCTTTCGCTGGTCAGAAGTTTATGCAAATGCAAGAAATAGCTCAGTACCGAAGATGAAAGCCTCTTTCAGGGGGAAGTTTGCTGACAATGTTTGACTTCTTTCACGACGCTATGCCCGGGAGGGGGAAGGAAGAAGAAAGGGGGGCGGTGGGAGCTGTGGGAAGTCAGAACTATTTGATTAAAAAGAAGAGAAAATAGTCAACGAGAAAACAAAATACTTTGCCTGCAGCGCTTGGAGAAGAAGAGACAGCAACAAAGAGCACAGTCCTCAGCTGAACTAGCGCGAGGGGGTAGGGCACAGAGCAGCAAGGTTACCAAGATGCCGAGGGACGGGTCGGGGGTCATGGGAGGGGAGCGCCAAAGAGACGGTTGCGGAGATCAACCCTAACATGGTGTCCAGCCCGAAAGGTTAAGGAAACACAAGGGAGGGTGGCCAGTGACAGGGTGTATGCAGCTAAGGGCAAGTCTCCACTGCTTCTGGGGCATGCTGGGCATCGGTACAGCATACCCGCACTGCATGCGGTGACATGCACTTAATGAGCCACGGACAGGGACCAGACATGGACTTTATGAGCTGGGGAAGGGATGCTCATGCCCAAATGCAGCAGCATGGCTCAAACCGAACTGGGAGATCAGGATTACCCCTTGCTCTAGGAATTTCTTTAGCAGGCGGTGTTGCTCAGCACCTGAAAAAAGATAAAAATCAAGCCAAGGTTGGTCCCTCAATACCTGAGGAACCTAAAAGCAAAGGGTTATTAAACAGCCTATTTTCCCTGAAGCTGCAGGGACGTTTCTGATCTGGCCATTGCACTCAGCGTCCCATTGCATTATCAGTAAATATGGAGGATATATTAGCCGACGACTTCCCTGACCCTGCAATGGCCGGGCATGGGCAATGCCCTCATCCTGCCAACACCTCACTGAGCCATGTTATTAGGTGGTATCGGTGTTTCAGATCCTGTTCCTTGTAACTATTGCTGAGGTGTCGATGTGGTGATTTTAGGGGATTCCTTGGGCTAATGGTTGCTTGTGAACACAAGGGACTGGACTCCACCGCCCAGGAGGCCCCATCGGATATTATGCTCCTATGGAGACAGCTAACACTTGCAGGCAGAGGCAGCTTTTCAGGAATAACGTCCATTCAATTAGCAGAACTATTTATACTTCATTGATCTACTCCGAATCGAGCCCATGCTCTTGGTAGACCACATAACATCTGATGGCAAATGTCATGCCACGGACACGTCTCAGGGAGGGGGAAATAATGCAGCCAGCTAGGCAGCAAAAATAAATATCTGGAAAGCCTAGACTCATTTTAAAGGCATCCTTTTTAAGAGGAGACAAAGCACCTGGAAAAATGGCATCAGGGACTGGAGGAGAATTGAAGGCACTCGGTGGAGGCGAGTAGCCTATTTGCAGAACAGATGTGCCGGTGCAAAGAGAAAGGCGTGCTGGTTAGGAAACCATCTCAGTGCCCAGCAGGAGACAGCGGTGCAATGGGGAGAAGTCCACTGTGCTGTGCTAAAGCATTGCAGGTCATGCTCCAGCACGGCCACGGCAGGGATAGCTGCTCTGAGCCCATCCTTGGTAGACCTGGGAAATGGCACGGAGGACGAACCTGGACCCCAGAGTCCAGGTGCCATCTTAGCATCACCTGAAAGGAAAAAACAAGAAAAAAAACCAGGGAATAATCACTCTTTGCCCTCATCTGAGGATCCCAAAGCATGTCACATTTGCTCATGAAGCCTCACAGACCCCTCCTCTCCCACAGGAAGGGCCTGGTGACCCTCCTCATTTTACCAAGCAAGACTAAGGTTATGTTAGGCCCAGATCCTCGACACTATTCAGGCTCCTAATTCCAACTGATGTCTATGGGAATGAGACACCTAAATGCCTTGGAGGAGGTTCGAGGGCTCAAGCTCATACAGCAGTGGGGAACATAACCCATCATCTGACTGCTATGCTCTAA